GGGGAAACCCCTCACAAAGTAGGGGCTAGATGGTTGGAAGGGAAAACCTCCTTGCAAGATCAAATGTACACCCCCACAAGTTTCCTTAACAGTCAATTTTGAACCTTGCCTGCTCTGTCTCAGCGTTTGAATAAGGCTGAAAGCGTGAACCGAGATCCATCACTGGCTCTGTGCGCTGCCAAGCCTAACACTTGTGCTTTTTGCCACAGGACAGGGAGAAGTTGAGCCTATTAACCTTCTGGCAACATCAAACCCCGCTGCCCTCAGTAACACACATCCCTGCTTTGCAGCAGATGTCCGGTGATGCCTGCAACGTAGCTCCGGGATACAAAGCACTACGTGGACCTCTGCTACACAGAAAACCCCACAAGAAACAAACAAACAAACAAAAAACCCCACGAGGACAGCTGCTTTTGTTTTGCACATCTTCCAGCTCTACAAAAACACGCAGAGGATAACTACCTGGAAGTCCACTGTCAACACTGGCTCACTGAGTATGCAGAATGACTTCCACCTTAACCAGCTACCTCAAACCACTTCCCAAAGCTGCCAGCCAACGGCCTGCGTTTGGTCTCCTACATTTATACTCTGAGATACTCTACATCTCAAACTTTTCATTTAAAGAAGAAGAAAAAAAAAAAAAAGGAAGTTCATCCAAATCAATCCAAACGTGCCGTTTCTCCCAATTACTGTGGAATGCAGAGGTCATCATCATATTGCATCATTACATTGAGGAATAATCTAGCACAAAGTCCTATAAATCAGCTTAAATAGCTTGTGTGTTTTCATCCATAACAGCATAGCTCAAAAAGACATACCACTGCTTTTCTGTGCACAAGGAGCTAAATTGAACAGGCACATTACATCTATTTTACATGAACTTTAAAGAGAAAAGGCTGATATGAACCCCCCTCCACCTATGAAGTTTAAACATTATGCCACAGAAGAAAAAAAGAGATCTTATTTGGTGGCTACACATTAAGCCCTGATGCTTTAAATTGCCTTTTTTGAGGAATGCACCATATTGCTGGCATTTCTATTCAAAACAAGCTTCTGTTTTCTAGAAAAGGGTTCAACATTTACAGTGACATATATAAGAACAGCACAGACAGAAAATTCTAAAATATAATTTACAACTCAATCTAGGGATCATCCACTTTAAAAGAAACTATAACTGCATGAAAACAACCACCCAGTCCCTAGCTTTTTATCAAAGGATATTAGTTTAGGATACTTTATATCAAACCCCAAATACCTTAGGTACTTTTATGTCCTGACAGTGGATCACCTTTCCAAAAAAAAAAAAAAAAACCACACACAACCACACAAAACAAAAAAACCCAAAACAAAAACAAAACAAAAAACAAACAAAAAAAAAACCCCACAACACCAGTCCCAAAACTCCATAAAGCACCTACATGCTACAAACTAGTAAGAATTCTTCTAGAACCTATGCATGCTGAGTTCTTTACAAAAAATGAAATAAAATCAGAGATGGAGCTCTATCAGTTTTGTTTTGTATCATCGGTGAGCGCATACATAATGACTTCACCTCTTGAAACCTCTCTGCTTCATTCTTATGCATAGACTTGAAGGGACATTTACGCGTTTGGCTTGTTGCATCAATTCAGAGGATGAAGTTACTGTAAAAATTTACATTACTGCAGGCTTGTAGCGATGCAGCAGGCAAGCACAAGAAATAAGCTTTTATTGCATTTATTTTAGATTTGATGGAAAAGAGAAGTGTAGTCATTTGGTATGACAATAGCCACCATGAAATTTGACTTGTTTATCTATTAAATTACATTTTATTTAAGCAGAATTTTTTTTGAAGTAGTTGAAATTTCGAGATAAATCACAAATTTGACCTATGTATCCAGATGGTGTTTCTCCTGAATTGATCACGTCTTTCAATTTGCTGTACCCGCTTTATAGTTGTGACATATGCAATGCACCAAGGACACTTACTGAAACTCAAAGTTAATTTGAGTAAAACATAATTTTATATACTACTCTCTACAACAAAGTCTTTATTAAAAAAAGGAAAAAGAAGTTTTCTTTTCTCTTATAATGCATAAACTTGCCTATAACAAAGACGGCACTTTATTTAAAATGGATTTACGGAATTCTTTAGTAAATTAATATTTTTTAAAATCTCGATGGTTTAGTTTTACTGTAACCATTACTCTGTTGAATGTCTTGGAATCATGGGTGGATCCATCCTTTCATGCAGATAGTAAGGTGAAGGACAGATTTTTAAGAAGTAAGCAGTGCTAATTTTCAACTAAGGGTACAGTTCGCCGGCAGTTTGAGTAGACCTCTGAGCTTTTCCCCCACTCCTGCCAACAGCTTTTTTCCCCATCTTTTTGAGGCGCAGGCTGAGTTCATTTTGGGCTGGAAGAGTTCCCCGAACTTGCATGCAGGTGCAAAAAAGAGGACAGCACAGTGTAGGGATAGACTTAGATGACTGAAAATACTATGGGTCACTTTGAACTGCACCATATGTTTCCAATAATTAATGTAAGTTTCAAAACCCTGAATTCCCAGACATGTCACTGTTTCTTATACGCAACGCTACTGCCATTCATCTGATTTTTCTTGCTTTATTTCTCACCTCTGTTATTCCAAAACACTCAAAACAGAGAAACACTGAGCCCCAAAATCAATTTTAAATGTATATTCTGGGTTCTTATTATTGGGTTTTGTTAGTTTTTAATATTTCTTATTAAGTTATTCAAAGCTGGTAAAGATATTTCAGATTCGATAGGTTTTCTAAACCTTTTTTTTTTGTCTTGGTAAAACGACTGTATTACTAAAGATACCAAACCAGGTTATAAAACAGCTGATTTAAGACTGCAAATATTCACCTGCAATACCAACTATAAACAATAGGAATTAAAATCATTGTTGATACCTGTGGTTAAAGGCAGATGAGTGACACTAGTTAGACAGGTGAGAGTGAACCAGGTTGATGCTAATGTTGCTCCAGATAAAAGCAGCAGCAGTATAAACTTCAGCATACCCCTGATAAAATCTGCAAATCTAAAATAAAAGCACAGATCAGAGCAGTACAAATGCTGATTTTCTTATTAGTTAAATGTGATGCTTGAAAATTAATTCAGTATATTCTCATTAAACATTTTGGAGACTATAAAAACCAATTTTAAAATCGTTTCTCATTTTCAGAAATAGAAAAAAGGCACTTTCATAGGATGGTGATATTTCTAGCTGTCAACCTGAATAGCCATGGATTTTTTAGCTGTCACAAAATAACAACCAAATTAGAACAATTCTCAAGGCATCAATTAAAAACACTTGGTATACAGGAAAGGTTGTTTTTTTTTTTTCTTCTGCATTTGTTGGACACAACATCACACCACTACTTACATCGCTGTTTTGTCACCATTTGCCAGCCTCCCTTGGCAGACGCATCGCTCAATTAGCATATGAGGAGGCTGCTGCATTTCATTCAAGACATAGTTAAGTGTCAAGATTCATTCCTGCAGGAAATGACAAAACTCCAAATACCAGAATCCCTAGATAGAAGATGACAAGGAACAGCTTCGGAACCCTCAGATATACTGGCGATGAAGCTCTCTGTGGCTTAGGCAAAGGAGGAACTCTTTACACAGATGGTCACTCCTGGTGTCTTGAGTTAAAATGTTCCAGAAACCAAGAGCTTGGTGCTATTCCTCTCCTATACACATGACCCACTGACAGTCAGGGAGAGGACAGCCTCACAAGTCCTTGGGCAGTCCGACTGTTACATGGAGGGAAATATGATCTTTATACCACCTGATGGTACAATTGCTTTTTTAATATTTTTTTCTTTTTCTGTCAAGGAGGTAGAATGCATTTCAGCAGCGCTCACATGGCACAATTATCAGTGCAACTGCTCTTTTCAAAAGGGATTTCAACACAGCTACTACAAAAAGATGTATTAGAAAAGGCAATGCCATTTATCCACTAGTAATTTTCTATGATCTCCTGCTTAGATGTGATTTTGGGCTAGATGGGTTAGGCAGGCATGTCTAAAGAATTTCTTCCGTCCTCATAGCCTCCTACCTCAATTAGGCTAACGGCAGCACAATCCACCTAGGTTGGTCCACGATGAAATCTGTCCCATCTGTCAGCTAACTGCCTTCTCTCCCTTCACAAAGATCACTTTACAAGCTTATATACAGGCTCACTTACAGGCTAATATACAGTTTTCTTGATAAAACAGATAATACTACCAACATTTTGAGAACTAGGAAGCCTAGCTCTACATACACCATAAGAGATGTACAAGCAATGTAAAAAAGACAAACCCCACTTCTTTCTTCTTATTTTGATTCTCCCTGTGCTTTAATTCCACATTGAATTTAGCAGCAAGTAATTCAATAAGCAGTAGAGGAAGATCAATGCTGCATATAATCTTAAAAGTTTATGACTGCAGTGTTCAAGTGGCTTATGCATTAATCTCTGATAGTCAGAGGTTAGCTGCTACTGTTGTTTTTTCTGACAATCCAAATCCAGCAATCAGGATCACCGCTTCTCAGTGGTTTGCCAGTTTCTTTAATTATTCTTTGGGATCACTGGGGTCAAAATCAGCAATTTTAAAAGCTTCTCAGAAGCATCTCGAAGTGCAAACTTTAGACTTCTTCCACAGAGACTCCCCGCTTTGCCTGCTGGCAAACATCACTATTCCCTCTCCTTACAGGCAAGAGCAGCTACGTATATCCCATCTAATGAAACAAAGCGAGAGAAATACCAGCCTCCAGGGAGGGACATTCACAGACAACAGGTCTGGAAGGGATCTCTATGGCGTCCCCCATCTCTATCCTACCACCAGGGATATGTGGGGATGGGAGGGTGATACGCAACTAAACCATTCAAGATAGTTAAGCGGAGCAAATATCTACCTCTACTGAGCAGCTGCAACTCTTTTTCACACAAAGATCCTGGTTTAGGTATCAATGGTAGCAGCGTGCTCCAAGGAGCTCTCAGATATCACAGGACTCCAGAAGGGTCAAATACAAATGAAAAGGTTTATGCAGCTACTGAATTCAGCCAGCAAGAGAAATAATGGGAAAAAATGACATGGCAAAGTAGCTTGAACTTGGTAACCGAGGGACTTCTGCTTCTTGTCTGGTTACAGGAGAATGAAGATGACCATAAATCTAGTCGACTCTTCAGAATACTTGGTTTTTCAATCAAAAAATGAGAGAAATTATTTTTATCCTCTGACCCCAGTATCTGCCTTCAAAACCCTCTGTTCTCTTTAAATCCTCCTGCATCATATAGCATGTAAGCGGGTGTCTGCAGCTGCTAAAAAAGTAGGCACACCAGGATAGAAGCTGTATTCCTACCCAGACACAGACCTCTGAGCCTACTGCTGGTAACAGTCTCCTGCAACCCAGCAAATCCAGCCCTAGCTGGATCCTACAGTTAAAATCACAAACCTGCATTGCTGAAAACACTGTCTGTTGCTAAGGAAATTATCACCATGTCATAAAGTTTCAGCATTTTGACTACACTGCAGGTTAAAAGCAGGAAGAAAAACTGAGCTGTGGAGGACAAAACCTCAGAAATATCTATGATCATTAGCAAATGGGGCCAAAAAAAAAGAAAAAAAGAGAAAAGGGAATAGATTTATGTTTCCATGCAATGGTATGAATGTCACTCTTTGACACTGCTTTTCTTCAAAAAGCTGCCAGCAAAGGGTACAGCTGCCCAAAATAGCCCAGGCTTTTCAATTATAAAAGTGCATCACACAAATTAGCTAAACATATCTAAGTTCATAGCTATCGGGACAGCAGTGGGTGGAGAGCAGGAGGATTTATGTATTGTGCTAAGGAAAACGTGTACCATTTTGAAAATGAGATAGATAAACAAATTTCCAAATTTGGCATTACTTTAAATACAGATGATTTAACACAGACTGTGATGTGCAGGACCAAATGCTCCAGGGCAAGGCTCAGGTTGTTACAGCTCTAAATGGTAGAATCCGCATTGACAAAAATGGAAGGAGCAAATTCCTAAACTGCATCAATTTTGCTTTGATAAACTAGCAGAAAAAAATTAGGAAAAAAAAACCCCCAAAAAACCCCCAAAAAACAAAAAAAACCCACAACAGCTTCTTGAGAGGTGGTTAAGGGAGAGAGCTGCTTGCTTGGCAAATCACAGTTCTGACACTGAAATACATCAACTTGTCAGCCTTGACAAGAATCATTACTTAATTTTCCTAATTACAACTTTCAGCAGATTACAGTCAGACTCGTCATTGATTCAACCCTACACAGATAAATGCTGAATAGGCCTAGGAGGGAGAGTCATCCATCAGGAGTGACAAATCACCTCCTCCCTCCTCTTCTGTGTGCAAACCCTCCCATTTGAACTGTGTATTGCCCAAGTTAAAAAGACATATTTGGAGAGAGACTGTTGGTATTTTTTCAATTTACTCAAAAGCAAAGTTCTAAATGCTACAAAATACTAGTATTCAACAAGGTTTGAAATCCATTTTGAAGCAGTTAAAGAAACTGTCAGCATTTCCTGAAACTTAACCCAGGCGATGTATTAAATAAATTAATCTACCATAAAGACTGAGATTTGCATGTTGGCATTGAGTCAGCAGATTCTCTCCTAACAAAGTTAAGTGAACTGCTAAGGGTGTCCCCTCTACTACTGAGATGTTGCAAATGTAAGAGATTAAACTCATGATGCAAAAAGATTAAACTGGCATGCTACGTGCTTCAGCATGTAACCTGCTACAGCATCTGTGTCATTTACAGCAGTTGGTTTTAAACATCTACTGCTCTCAGAGAGAAAACCTTGTGTCTGACCTTAGCTAATCAAAGGCAACTCTTTTTAGAGGAAACCAGGGTGTGAACTTTGCTTCAATAGATTAAGTCCTTTGGTCTGTGTCAGGAGTGGATGGGAGGGAAGCGCTTGTATTTTTCCCTAGGTCAGGAGTTTTTTCCTCTCCCTCCGTCGCAGTTGCTAGGTAGCCTGCAAAATGTCAGGATGAGGAACCTCAGATTTCTTTATGCATTGTGTACTCTGATGATGCACAGCAAGTGACAAAAAAAGAGAGCTTCAATTTCTGTCCTAAAAAAAGATGCCTGCATCTCTGAGTCCACAATCCCACAGTGACTGCAACAATGACAGACCCCTGCACTTGTGTTAAACTCATTGCAGAACTGGAGTCTACAGAGTGGACATAGAGAAGCCAGGACAATGCTTAGATATCCTGATGCAAGAGGAACATGCGATTGGTTTTAATCAGTTTTATAAACTCACTGCTCAAGTACCTCCTGAAAGACTTTTCCTCCCTCCCCCTGCCTCCTTTCTTAAAAGGGATCTCAATGAAGAAAAAGCAGCAGCCTTTCAGAAGGGCAATCCATTTCTTGCTTTTCCACTCCCCATGTCATTAGCATTCATGATGGCCAGAGAGAGCTGTGTTTATAAAAAGCATAGGTACACCCATATTGTAGCCCGTAACAGTACAGCAAAAAATAGTTAGGCCATGTAGGAATGCAGCAACCTGGCCAAAACAGCCTCAGACTAATTTCCCTGTGGAGGACCGTAACATTATTGTGGGTAGGCTGCCTGTGCTACATTCCCGATATCCCTTCAGGAATCAATATGCCCAAAAGTGTTGATGGAAGGAGACAGACACTAACTCCTTCAATGCTTCCCAAATGTGTTATAATGGGTTCTCCCTCATACCAGGCAGCTGAATTCACAAGAACTATGTTTAAAAGGAGCACACAGGAAGCACTCGTCAGGAGTAACACTATGACTTGCCAAACTGAGGCATACGTGTGTGGAGTTCTCGACCCCCAGCAACACTAACATGGAATATGCAAATTATTGCTCTACAAGAAACACATCATAACCCCAGAATGCATTTTTCATTTCAAGTTTTTAGAAGATGAGAGAAAACAAGTTATGTTATTAAGAGGATAAGCTAAGTGACAATCACAGTTGAAGAAACGGAGAAGGACATGTAATTATTCCTACCTTGCCATTGCTATGCCTACAACACAACCTCCAACTATAGACCAAAATCCAATCCATCCTGCATCTACCTGACAGGAGAAAAAAACAAAACAAAACATGGAGAAATGTGTTAAAGCTGAGAAAATAAGACAATGTTACTTTCAAAACAAATGGTGTGCACGAGCTAGCAACAGCCCCCGACAACAATCTGAAGTGCAAGATTTTTTCTAGGATATTCAAAAGGAAATAAATTCACTAAAAGAAAGTATGACTAAGTAGCCTGTGCCCTAAATGTGACCTCTCTTTATAGAATCTGAGTAACGTCCTCTGGATTTTTATAATACTCTATCAAAAGCTTAGAAATCCTCTTCTCCCCACTCCATCTTTTCCACCTGGTAAACATTTTCTTTTACTAAAGGTGCGTCCAGCCAACAATACTCCCGTTGCTTACCTGCTTCTTCCTTCTTGTCAAAAGGTGAGCATGGTTCTGAAAATACCCACCGCTGGTGAAGAGTCAACAGGGAGAATCGTGACAGTTTGGGATGCCAAAGCTACAGTTTATTTTGTTTAAAATTTCAGGATAAAAGTGGTCCATAGGTATTAATAGCAGCTTAAACATAAAAACCTGGTAAAATTCTATGCTAGTGAAAATAAAAACATGCCACTTCCAAGATAGCTGCTGATTATCAGTCAGGAGATACTTACTTGGCTTACGTGAACTGGTGTTAATATCAAATCGAGAACACCAGACCAGCCAGAGAAAACACCCAGTGGTATAGCATAGGCTAAAGCAATCATCAAGAACCGGAAATTGCTGTGAAGAGAAAACATAGCAATTATCTGCAGCTTGTATTAGAAATTGCACCAAGATTAGCTACTAAAGTAAATGACACTCTAGGATCTATACTCTGCCCATCAAGAAAAATAGCAGAGGTCTGAAAAAGGAGTGAGCCAGTTAAAACAAGAAAGGTATCCGGCCATGTCAGTGAAATTCCAGTGGCTGAGATGTTACTGCCTTAGCGCTGTGATAATAAAAAAAAGACAGTCTCTCCACGTAGTTCAAAGACTTGTAACATGCTGGGCTCACGTGTTTCTCATTTCTGCAAGCAATTCTTCCATGCATTTGCATGGGCAACATACTTAGCTTAAGTGTATCTTAGGAACAATAAGCACTAATTTAAAGGACAAAAAGCGTATTTCAAGAATAAAATCAGAGATTCATACTTTTTGAACTGCACTTTTTTTTTTTTTTTAAACTGTTTTACTTCTATTTATTTTGGTGAAAGGCAGAGAGAGCTCTGGGAATGAGACAGGTACAGTTGCAAGAGTGGAAAATTTTGACAGTTTGAACTGTCAAAAAACAGAGACAAGTATAATATTCTGCTGTAAACAAAGTGTTTGCTTTTTCCTCCCAATTAAAATTATTCAGCCTTCAGTATCCAGTGAAGATGAAGCAGTGAAAGGTGTGTCATCATCTTGATCGTACACAGCTAAACAGGAGTTGGCAGACAAATACCACCACCAATTTCCCCCACCCACCCACCGTAACCGAAAGCAAATGCAAAATCTTTGCTAAGAGACATCTAGCTTTTCCTCGAAAATGTTTTGATTTGGGAATAAAACCAGAAAATATACTTTGGACTCTGCAACAGTTATATTTTGAAGTCAAGAGATTTTATGGTGACTCCAAGGTTATCCCATGGGATATCTGTGTAACCACAAAATGTGGCTTCCCCCATTCCCAAACAATTTACGTAAAACTGATCCTGATCAGTACCAGTTCCTTGGCATGCAGCTGCAATGTGATAGCACACAGTTATGAAAGCCAAGAGAGAGGGAAAAAGCTTCAAATACTCTCCAAAACATTCAGAGGTTTGAGGCTTATGCTGTTTTACTCCCCTAGAAGATCCATGCACAGCACATCAACTACCATTTTTCAGCACTGTTCTTTTTCACACATCCTCTTCCTGAATAACACATTTCTACCACATGAACATATCCTCCTCTTTCAATATCATTCACTGCAGATTTAATTTTTAATGCAAAGAAAAACAACTCCCAAACTTTCAGCTCTTCCGCACACTGCTTATATTTCTCTGAGTGCTAAAGCATTTGCTGTCTTCCTGACAACTTTTTTTCCTCTCTTAAGAATGCTACTCTTATCCTAGACTACCTTGTATCATCGTGGCATCTCTTAAGGCAGGTTTTCTGATGCTATTTAATACTATCCATGTAAAAGCTAATTCAACAATTACAGAATAAAATAAAAGGGAAAGTGCCCATTTCACATGGACATTATGTACAGCCACGTTGTAGATTGCAAAGAGGGAACAAGTGTGAATGCACTGTTCCAAAATAACACTTGCTCAATATTCAAAATCTTTGGGTATCTAAACCTCATCTTCACTAAAGAGCTGCTTTTGGTGGGGGTGAGTACTTTGTAACTTACTTGACCGAGATCTCCTGTGCCATATTCGTCTTCCGTAACATGCCACAAGACAGACTGGCACGCGGGATAGCTGCTCTGTGCCGCGTCCAACTCCTAGTCCCAATACTGGAGAACCAGGTCTGCATCATGACATCCCCCAGTGACAGAGGCTCCCATGCTGCCACCCTGACTGGTCTCCAGATTAAAGAAGGTGACCAGGAGAAAGGGTGCATGGCAGTGACAAAGCAGCACCATCACCAGATGCCGTTCGGCCCCCCTGCCCAGCAATAGCTAGCGCTGGCTACATTAAGTGCTAAAGCTGTTAGAAACACACATCTTAAGCACCGGCTCCGCTTTTCATGGCTCCAATCACTTGCATTTGTTTTTGCAATTTTGCAATTGCTGCACTGAAAATAGAAAAATGTGCTGTCTGTCACACCATCAGTTGGAGAACCCTCATTGTTTTCCACCGTATCAGCCCTTATGACAGGATATCAGTGTTAGCCTCTCTGTTAAACCATTCTGCTGGAATACAAATTGGATTTTTCTTCTGTTTTTTCAGAAACCTACTTAACGCCACTAGAATCTATAAGACAGGCTGGTTCAGGGGGGAGCCCCATCAAAGTCAGTCACCATTTTCAGAATAACTTTGACAGTCCCTATTAACTTCAGGCACGCTCTAAGCAGCTTCCATCACTGGAAGGTGATGTCATATGAAAGTTTCATTAAAGAAATCGTGATGCACAAAAACCCTGTTATGAAATTTCAAAATTGCTTACATAGTCCCTTGAAAAATGTAAGAGGAACATAACCAGCTAAAAGCATTGAATTACTTCAAAGCAAAAATCACAACATGTTTTCTTAATGCAGATTTTAAGACTTATCAACTATACTTGTATTAGAATTTTTTCCATGGAAATTTGTAACATATTCTGAAACAGGAGGGAGAAAAAAAAACCCTCATATTTGCTTCACCCAAGAAACTGAGAAAGGGCACCATACTTCTTCTAATGGAAATTCAAACTACACTTGTCACAGAGTGTGATAGACTGTTAAAAGATTTGGGCTTAGCTCCTAAACCATGACTAATCTGTTGTCTCCCACTGCAGGCTGAGAGAGTTGGTATCAGGAGATAACCAGAGATCAGCTAATCATTATAAACTGTCAGAAGCAGGAATCCTCCAAATCTGAAGGAAGAACCAAGTTCCTAAGCAAGTCCCAAAAAAACAGCCTACAGGGGATGGTTGACCCTAAGAAGACATGTATAATACAACTCTGCAAGAAGCAGCTCATGAAGATGACTGCTTAAGGACCTGAAGGCACAAAGGAGTGTGGGAGTTGCAAGGATGTGATAGATCCCTTTGACGTCCAAGGAAAAAGGTCAATGACTTTAACGGTGAAGTTATGCTATGCAGCTTTACTTTGAAGTAATAAAACTGCAGCTTGGGGGAGAGAAGAGAGAAATGATGAACATCTCAATTCTCATGAGTGTTTTTGGTGCATAGCTGGGTCAGCCCACCAGCTCACACACATCCTAAATGCCTGACACACAGTTCTTATACCAGAGGGTAAGTCTGCAATAAGGAGAAATCATGATTTCCTGTTCTCATCAGCTAATTACCTTCAGTCTCACCATTAAGTCAAAAGAAAGGCTCTCTGTGCCACGAATTATGAAGCCTAGAGTAGACAGGCAACCAAGCTTAAAAGCCTAACCAACCAGATGATGGATTTCTCTTGAGGCATAGCAGATACCATTTTCTTTTATAAAACTCCCTTGCTTGATGGATTGTTGCTGAAAGGCTCCCCAAGATAAGTGGGTTTAATGATGAACTGTTGATTATTTCATGCACAGAGGAATGAAGAAGTGCGTTTGATAAAGGGTAGCCTCGAAGAATGCATAAAGACCAGAGGGGAGGGAGATATAATGATCTACCTGACCACATTTTAAAAAGCCTCTTGGTTCTTGGAGACACTATGAACTATGCTCATTATTTAAGTGTCCAGTTTGTTTTCTTAAGTTTCACTGATTGTGAATAGTAAGCCAGCTTTGCTGTTTACGTCCTGACCTTACCAGTATCTCAGGTCCACTATTTACAACACTTTGAATAAGGAATCTAATGGTTATAAAGCTCCCAAATGGAGTACTGTCAACAGAAATTTTATATTTCACCTGCAGAGTCAGTTGCTGTTTGGATTTCTGTTCAACAGTGACATTTTTACAACACAGCCCTCAGGCAGGGTCTCACCACACATCAGCTTGGGTGCTACCAGCATTATTGTGTGTCCTAAGTGTCCTTATGGGAATTGCTACTTTTTAATATCCTGAGTAGGTCACTTTGCAGACTAACCAGCCAGCTGTACTCACACCTTATCCTAGCTGCCAACCTGCTCCAGGATGCGCACACAGGATTGAGTCTCTTGTCAACTATTTACTCCCCCAAACTGAAAAAAAAAGCCCCCAAAAACAACAGAAAAAACCCAATGACAACAAGGGATGAGTTATTTTTGCTGGCTCTAAATACAGAAAGTACAACCCACAATAGGTCTGTAATAACTAAATGCCTAAAGCTCCACAATTATGAAGTTTCAAGAGGCCCTTCGTGCACAGATTCAGCTCCTATTATCACATCACCCAAGAAACCATTGCAGCTACTTTGAAGTCAGCCATACTTAACACCACAGGAGAGGTGGTTCTTTGCCCCAGGAAGTTCATCTGTGCAGTATCATGTACAGAGCACAGGCCTTCACAATTATTCAGCATTAATATTACAGTTACTTTAGCTGTTCCTCTGAGATCAGATTACCACCCCTGCAAACATTCAAGGCCAGGGTGGATGGGGCTCTGAGTAACCTGATCTAGTTGAAGATGTCCCTGCCCATTGCAGAGGGGTTGAACTAGATGACCTTCAAAGAGCCAAATAGGGTCCAACCCAAACTATTCTATGATTCTATGATTGCACAAGACGTTCTACAAACAGTAGAATGGTGAGGCAGAACGGTGTCTTACCACAAGAGTCCAAATGGGAGAAGTTGCAAAGCTGTTGATGTCACTTGCTTTATAAACTTTTTTTTTTTAAACCCAAAAATTTATAGGAAACTAACTCACCTTTGAACTTGTCCAGAAACACATCTGGAGACATTTCTCCTAGTCCCACTTCATATTCAAACACACAATTAATGAGACTGAAGAGATCATATAATGGTTTCAGATAGTTCATTTGTTGCTTCCATGGCTGAATGAAAGCAGCTGAATACTCCTTTGAACGACAAGCAAACCCCAAATTCATGCCAATATCACAACCATGGAAGAAGCTTATTTGTTAGTTATGCCCAATGTTGTTAATTGTTCTTCTGCACCTAGCAGTATGCACGCTATTAAGAATCTTGTATAACCTGATGTAACAGAAGCATTGCATAAGAAAGGCCGTGCTAACGGGATGACTAAAAGCTGTGTTAGTGCTAAAGGACTCTGGCATGAAGGCTTGAGATATACCCAATGATGTAAAATTTAATGTCTGGTTTTTAACAGTTAGCATCCTTTTATGTCTCAGCATTAAAGTTTATTTTGTTTAAAAGCACTACAAACCAACTTGTTTGCTCAATCAGAAGATTAAAGCACACTTGTTTTTATTTATTTAGGTGCTGATCTGCTTTGAAGTGGAAACCCAATGAGGACCTACCTTAAGAGTCTGCAAAAACTTCTCCTGTAGCTGAGCCGTTGACTTGCCGCAGCCACGCTGGGAGGGAATGGAGGGCGCGAGGGGAAGTAGGCCAATGCTGCAGAAAATATCAGGGAAACCATTCCAAATTCTAAACAAGAGGGTAAAGAAAAACAAAACTGAGAACAGATGTTAGCATCAAAAGACTTATTTCGGTACAGCATTCTTATCAGCCAGCCTCTGATACATAAATCCCACCAGAACTGCTTTACTGCTCCTGACAGCAGGACTCCATAACTTGAAGGAGAATTTCTGTTTTCCTCTCCAAGCAAGATTTCAAATTGAGATGGAGAATCAATGAAATGGAGAAATACTGGCAGTCCATTCCAGTGACAGGAGCTGCAGAGCACCGAGCTCACACATGGGTAACTCAGTGAAGCAAAAGAAAAGTTTTTGCTTTTTGTCTTTAGAGAGAATTGCATTATGAAGATTTGGCCATGTTTCCTCGCGATGGAAGTAATGCAGTGCAGGTAATAGCATGCTAGACACTTTAAACAGATGGGACTGTGGAAGCCCCAGGGCATGGAATGGCAATTACTCAGTGCACAGGACGGTGAAGGCAAACAAAAGGTCAAGGAAGGCAGCATCTTGGACACAAACAGTATTACATGGCAACAGAATATAAACTTAAAAAGTGTAGGAGCAGCCATGGCTCAGGAATAGAGGGAGCACGGGTAATAGGGAGAAAAATGAAAGAATACAGCTGTTTGCAGATGCTCCCCTTGTTCAGCAGCAGGTATTCTAGATCTTTGAAAAATTTCATAGCAGAAATTTGGACCCGAACTTGCAAAGTGATGAGCACTTCACAGAAAATACTCAGCAAGCCCCATGATCAGACATTCTGAGGAAAAACAACTCTACCCACAGTCAGTCTAATTAATTTGTTTTACAGGCCTTTTACAATGTATATCATGTTCTCCACAGTCCTCAATCCCAGTATTTCTCCTATCCCCTTTGAAAACAAGATTCTTGGCTGCTGTAAAGAAAAATGTATAGCTGAAGTGTGTTATCTTAAAAGAGCCTGTGATCTTATAACAAAGAAGTGTTCACCGACACTACAAATAAATTCCAGCAGAGCTGGATACTCAATTGCATTCATTTTCTTTTTTCTTCTCTTTTTTAATAAATCAATATGAACATGGCACTTTGCCAGCTCTTCTGCTAAACCAGAAGAAAATAAATTCAGGAAACTGAAAAGTAAATAACACTCAGAGTCTAAATGGATCAGCTGGAGATGGGGACGGGAAATGAATGCTTCTATTCGGTATATGGAAAAAAAGTCTACACTAAATTTCTTTTGAGGGCATACCGAGAATGTGACAATGCCATTCTTCACGATCAAATACTAAAGGATTCATTTTGAATTATGTGCTGTCTCTTTTTCCTGCTGTGGTCTAATTGCATATTTTGAGAGTTGAGGGGACTTTAACTAGACCTTTTCACTGTATCTCCTCTGCTCTCCAGAAAACAGATTAATTTCTATCTTCATGCACATTGTTTTTGAGACCATGAGCACTGAATAAAGAACTGGTCGTAACTGATCATCCTACATCTAACAAAGGGATGGGATGCTCTGTCACTACAGGATGACAATGGACAGGGAAGAAAGGCTTGCCAAAAACTGTTTGTCTCCTTCTCCTGCATCTAAGTCTACATATAGGTTTATAAGTACACATATGTACATGCACGCTTTAATCACATATTTAAAGGAAGATTTCAGACTGCAGACAGGTATAGTCAACAAGAATGTGACCACACAAACCCATAAACCTCACCTGCGGTGCTTATTATTTAACTTCATTATACTGCAATGCCGTAAGGGGAAAGGGTAGGTCTTTCTCTAAAGAATGTAAAACACGTTGATAATTTTTTTAAGTCACAGTAATATTTTATAATAGGTGCCCATCTGAGGCCTCTTCTACGGGTTGCCTCAAGATTCCTGCCAGTCAAATTGCTGCAGTAGGAGCAGTATAGTGACACTTCATTTTTTTTTAATTATTAAATTCAGCATGCAGTCCTTGTAGTACCTTCTTGCAACTCTTTAATGTTTCCCAGTGTTCTACTTTCCAGGCTAAGAAATGTGCCTCGCAAGCACTGCAGAATTCACTTTGGAAACTAAAGCAGCTCCCTCTATTGAAGAATAAAAGTCTTTAGTGCCATCTTAGCTTTGTGTATCACACCTGCATCTCTATCAGAAGTCCAGGTACTGCCAAACACACCTGATTTCTTACATGTTGCATTGCTTCCTGATTAGGAAACCCACACCTTTATCTCCATCATCATTTACTCTACCAGGCTAGATAAAGAAAAATACATTGCCAGGACAAGTTTTAGGTTGTAAGTAGGGAATAAAAGTGAGCAGAAGATAAAAGGTAAGAAACAGGTCAATAACGAGACCGAAGGAGCTGCAGTCACTAAAGAGGAACTCTTCCACGGGAGCTGACTATTGGCTTCTCAGCAGTGCAATGGATGCAGCAAAGCTCAGAATTGGGCAAGTCAGAATAAATTGGTGTGCAGAAATACAGCCGTGTATATCTCTTGCTGAGATGTGAATCTGGAATGGCTCACAAAAGCTGGGTGCCACGCCACAGCGACCTGTGACTATCCAAGTGGAGAGATGCCTGCATCTTAGCCTAGGAGTAGGCACTCTGCTTCCTGTGTAAGCCCTAAACAGAAAAAGAGGTTTACAGAGGCACAAGCGTCCTTGATACAAGGTCTTTTTCCTTCTGATAGGCTACTCGTAGCACAAAAACCCACCCAAAACCAGAGACTCTCCTCCCCATCTTGTTGTGAAATGTAAAGGGGGGAATGAGGGCACTTTACAGCACACGCATACTTTTTTTTTAAACAAATAATGATTTTACATTAATATTGAGGAAAGCATATGGCTAAAAGCCCTGGCTGCAGTCCAGAATAATTCAAGCTTCCTTATGCGGTTCAGGTAATACAGTTCAATCCTGATTTGCTACATCTGTACTATTTCAGCTGTGAACCAGAATGTGCAGGCACACAGAGGACAGAGAAAGAGGCTGTGGTAATTCAGCTGAGCTTTTAGTCTGTGTTTGAGATAAAGGAACAGCAATTTACTAAAACACAGAAGAGACTGGAGTTAACTGAGCAATTTCAGAATGGGTTTATAAGCAATTGCTTCGTAATCATGTTTGAGGTTAAGTCCTTGGAAAATTAGCGCACTCTTGGCATGCTACTGATCCCAAGGTAACAATTCACATCATTACCGTCTTTTAAAAGTCATCACCTAACTTTTGGAGGCTGCTTACCTAACACTACCTCACACAACAGCAACAAGCTCCATCATAAACACAACTCCAGAGCGCTTAGCCTGTGAGACCGGCTTTCCCGTAGTATCTGAGAAGTCCTACCAAGCCCAACCACACTTGCTAAAGAAGTGGGACACTTGGGTCCAACTCCTCCTTTCGGTCACATTCTGTAACACTTTTACTAGTAATCAGTGAAGTCAATTTGAGCTTTGTTTTCTGCCCAGCTGATTAAGGGGACAAACAGTACCTTTCCACACCTATCAGGTATTTTTTGCTCTGCAGGTGAACAGACGTGTACAGCTACGCCGAGGCAGCCACCCACCATAAGGCAGCCTTCCTTCCAGCCCTGGAGCCTTCCTGGCATAACAGAGCACGGGGGAGGCAGACGGTGGGGACCTTGCTCCATCAGCTCTCCAGGGAAACAGGGCTGAGGTGAGACAGGACAAATCCCCCACAGGATTTAAGACCACCTCCTCTTGGGACAGTTCCTACCAATTTTAAACCAGATGAATGTTTTGCCACCGTCAGTGCAATCCTCCACAGGCCTGTAACATGCAGGAACCAGCTCTGTTTCATCGCCTGAACAGCTAAAGGCGTTGTAGCTCCTGAAAAGTCACACCCCATACAACACAACCACAACTGCGGCTGCACAAAGAAATTAGCTCTGTTCAAACCATTTTCCAACACTAAGTAAGAACTACAGATGCCCCACAAAAACGCATTTCCCACAAAGCTGAAGAGCTGCTGTAGGATCATCTTATGCTGGGACAATGATCCCAAACAGGTCTACGGGATCTTCCCAAACCCTTGCCAGCTCAGAAAGGCAGAAAAAGGCAAGACACACCTCTGAACCTTGGTGGCAAGCAAGACCCATCACAGTTTCTGAAGAAAATGCTTAGGAAAACCTCCCAGAAGAGCACAGAACAGAAAGTTAACCTAATGGGCTGCTGAAAGCAACAGTTCTAGTGCTACCAGACTCAAAACAGTGGTATTAGGCACAAAACTGTACTTCCTTTAGGTGGATGAATTCTCTCTCCACGGAAAATCTGGAGAGCGAGAGCTAAAGCACTCCTCTAATCGTTACATTTTTCCTCCCCTTAACTACTGCTCCTCAGGACAATAACTGACTTGCCTTCATTTTTCGTTCTTTCACACTTGGCCATTTTCATCTGCCGTGACATCTTTGGAGTCTAACATCACATTTGCCTCTGAAAAAGGCCTAACCAAACTCAAATTTCCTTGCTGTTCCAATACATTTGAGTCCAGTGAAAAGTAGGTTCCTCAAAAATACTTGCTGAAATAGTGATCCAACTTCTACTATGCTTTCTTTAAAATGAACAGTAAGGTGGCCCTCACCCAACAGGAATATTAACTCAACAAAATTTCCATAAGACTAACGTCCAGGAATAAATGATCACAAACAGCTAACTCAATTCCATAAATCTGCATATAAACCATGCAGTATATATACTTGAAGACTTCTGGGACACTTAGGGCTAACTCCTGGCTGAATTTCAGACGCTGCAATTATAAGGGGTGAAAAACGCAACCAAATGTGCAACTGTCATGACATGGTAAAGTTCAGCTGTTCTTAATGCTATAACAATTTATATCCACTAAGAATCAGCTTGTAGACTCTTAAGCAACTCTTTTTCCTTAAAGCTTGGTGCTAATTTTTGTAAGTGACACAAACAGCCATAGAAGTGATTGCACGAAAAAGAGCAAGGACATAAAAATCTAATTTATTATCAGATGAATTTTAGATCAGTATTTTTTCTCCCCTAAACTGTTGTCACTTCATTGAAATTGCTCACCATATAAGACTTATGTGGTTTTAGTTAAAAACAAAATCTACTGAGTTTTAATTTCAATGTTAGATTCTTAAAGAGTAATAATCTAATCACATTTGAAAGGCATATGCAAGTCATAAATTAAGGCTGATTTAATGCAGGAAAGAATTTAATTTAATGCTGAAAGACTATTGGATTTCCTATTTTCCTTACAGAAACAAAGGAAAGAAACCCAACCTGTCATGGACACGTTTTTTTAAATGAAAATTCAAGAAGGAAAAACCAGTTTGGAAGCTCAGGGAAAGCATAAGCTCTCCTAAGATCAGCCGATACCAACAACTGAAATACTTCATTTGGAAGCAGTCTGTACAAAAGGCTATTTTTAAATCTTTCCTACACAAAGAGGGAAAAAATTAACCCTTCTGATGGTACAACAGTTTACCATTTCATTATTTTCCATCAGTCAGTAACTGTTTTCTGGGCAGCCCAGCCACTAGAGGGTAGTGGTTCACAAGTACCAAACACACATGGAAGTATGTAAACTTTTTATATTTTTTTTTCTTAAAAAAAAAAAAAAATTAAACCACACCTGCATACAGCACAGCCTCAATGCGGTCCTTGATGTGCTCTGTGTTGCTCTGTGATAGCAGTGGGAGGTGAGACGTTCCATTAGGAGATGGCACTACAAGAGGTCCCACTAAAAACGCACCAGCAGCACCCAGGTAATTGAGCAGTGACGCAATGGCTGTTGCTGTGGCACGTTCATCTGGAGAAAACCACGTCGTGGAAAGAAACGGTGCTGCGTTCATCACAGTTGGCCCCGCCAAGCCATTTAACAGCTGCCCTCCATGAATCAGCCTGGAATAGAGAATAGAGACCACAGTCATTTGGATGACAATTGCTTGCCTTTTTTTTCATTTTTTCTTTCTTAAAGTTAAAAAAGCATGTAAGATATTGAGTGCTGGAGATGGAGAAACTGCACAAAGAAATGAAAGTCCTGTGCAAAAAAAGGATATTCTATACACTAAAAGAAGCCCAATTACACTGATTTAAAGAATCCAGAGCTACTCTGTTCTCATTGCCTCAGATAAATGGAGAAGCAAATGTTCTCTTCAAAGCAGGAAAGGAAGAGGGAATAAAAGGTATCTTCTTTGCAGAAAAAAGTTATAATGATAGGATATAAAAGTAGAAAAGGTGTAGTGGCAAGAAAGCTTTAAATTACAACAGTCTTAAACCTGACCTCTTGCCTGCATAAATCCCAACAGAAGATTTAAATTAGTTATGGCAGATCCAAAATTGAAACACTTCAGCAAAATACTCTGCATATTTTTTCACTGCATTATTTACTTTTATTTACACACTCAGATGAGCTCCATGCGCCTACATATGAGGAGGCTGGGCTGTTGAGGTTTCCAAGAGGATCATCTTCTCCAGCAATCTGGCCATTCTCAACACACTGCTGAAACAGCCAAGCAAACCCAGATTTTTCTCATTTTTCACACTCATTGGGATTTAACAGATAAGACTGGTGACAGAACAGAGGTAGTACTTCCAAGCAGTGAAGTCTCTACAAACTTTGGCTTAATATTAGTACAATGAGCACATACAGAAAGGACTTTTTGAAGGCTCTTCTACATGTGGAAGTCAGCCAGAAACCTTCCACTTTGACTTTTCCAAAAAGCGATCAGCCATGAAAGGCAAAAGCATTTTGGAATTTATACAAAAACCTCATGTCTAAAAACCAGCAAGTCAAACAAAACACTGCCACTCTCCAAAGTAGATACATCCATCATGCAATAAAATGGTGGCAGATGATATTTTTAAATGGGTGGCGTTTTTCTAAGCATAGTAGTAACTCGATATTATTGCTGCAAGACTTGAGCTGTCAGACGTAAAAAGCTATGGCCTGAAAACAGGCAAACATAAGCTAGCGTTTAGGCAGTATTTCAAGCCACAAATGGCTGAATAATATACAGTGTAGCAGGAGTTTTTTAAAGCACAAAAAGGAACAAAATATGCAAAATAAATGCTGACAGACTCTTTATCAAATTAACAAGCTAGATTGCAATAAAAAGGAAGAGATGCTACTGATTCTCAGTGGATTAGAAATTAATTTTTTAAGCAAAATTTATGAAAATACACAGAAGAAAAGAAAAAGGTATTACAAACCATCTGAAAGGAAACACTTTCTGAGCTGGGAGAGAAGTAATATCCACTCCTAAAGGTAAGCAATTGCAACTTATTTTTTTCTTTTTTTTTAAGTTCACATAGAGAGAAGAGAGTTCATTACTATTTGTTCATGATGTGCTTCAGATGGACATCACCAAGGCACAGTCAGGCCTTTTTAATGCTTGTTAAACAGGGGCCCCACAACAAAATAAAATTAAATACTTTAAAATAAATATAATGCACTATCTAAATAATAGGGTACAGTTTTCTGGAGGACACTTTACTATTACTCTCCAACCCAGTATATTTTGGACAAACCAAGGCATCCTTGTGCACTTTGGTATTTTCATTCTACTTATCTCGCTACAGTAAGTTATTCTCAAACTTACCCTAAACTGTTCCAGGGTATTTGCAGAGCTATGCTACATCCCCAGAAACAGCTGCATTTCAGTAGCAAGTGAGGTAACTACTACAACATATAAAGATTTTATTTTAGTATTTCCTCTTGCTCCAAAGAGAATTTAATGCTTAAATTGTGGTTTTGTTCTTGTATGCTAGGAAAACTGTGTCACCACAAGACAACCTTTCATAGAAACAGAATCTTTGTGTTGGAAAGGACCTTTAAAAGTCATCTAGTCCAAACCCCCTGCCATGAGCAGGGACATCTGCAATTTGATCAGGTTGCTCAGAGTCCCAACCAACCTGACCTGG